GATGCCAAAGCCAATCCCGTTGTGTCCTGAATGGGGACAGCAGCTTGTCAGGGGCTCAGGCTGGCTGTGGCTTGTGGCCATGGCTTGTCAGTGCTCATGCTTGGCCTTTGGCAGCCTTGCTGTGTGCCCTGGCCCTGAGGGCTGCTGTGACTGAAGGGGCTGGAGCCTTCCTTAGCTGGGAGAGTGGCGCTGCCGCCCAGCTGGCCGCTGCAGAGCCGAGCTGGCCCGAGGCAGCAGCCCCTCGTCTGGGCCGGCTTCTGCACGGCACAGCCTGGACTCCCGAGAGGGACAGCATCTCCTCTGGGCAGCTGTGCGTGTCACAGCGGCGCCTGAGCAGCACTGCTGTCCTCGCTGCCCTTGCCCGCTGTGCCCACTTGGGAAGGTGGGGGGGACATGTGCGGTGCTGAGAGGCCGAGTCCAATGGCAGCCACTGATCCGCGCTGTCAGGGTGAAGGGAAGCACTGGGGTTCTTCCCATGGGCCATGGGCAAGGGCGTCTTGGAGCTCAGCCTGCTCATACAGGGTGAGGGTGCTGATGCCAAAAGCCCCCTTGGAATGGGTTACAGCATCAGCTGCTCTGCTTTACAGATGGAAAGCCATTCATTCTTTTAGCAAACGGCTGCAAGTTGGAGAAGATGCCCTCCTGTCCTGGGAATGCATCTCCCTGGGCTTTATTTCCTGACAAGAGAAGTCTTCAAAGGACTGGACAAAACCAGTCTCTCTGCTGGCCATTTGGACTGCAGAACTGCCTGGCTTGTTGCTCTTGCTCTTGTTGTTGTTGTGGTTGCTGCCCAGCTGACCACAAAGGGTTCAGAGCCCCAGACAGTGGGGCTTTCATATCTCCTGGAAGGTGATATTTCTGCATGAAAGTGAGAATCTTGCATTTTGTTTCCCTCAGGAAGAATGGTAAACGTGGAAAATCCCATACGAAAATACATTGAACTGGAAAATCTCGGCAGCGGGTGAGTCCACAGATACTTCTACACAGCCTTGGGCCAGGTGTTTCGCTGGTGGAATATCCATCAGGTGGGAAGTCAGACAAGCTGCAAACATGTTTAGACATCAGGGTTAGTCTGCCCCATCTCTCCGTACTGGCCAGAATTTGTAAGTGTGCTCAGAGGGCATTGCCAAAGACCTCCCCATGCTGCCAACCAAGGTCTTGCCTGCAGCAAGGAACAGAACCTGGTAGATCTCCTTGTCTCTCAAGTGTAGGACAGCTCTGTGGTAATTTCCTTAGCATTTGCGTATGTCTCAAGATCATAGAATTTTGCCACACGAATGTCAGGAGAAGAATCTTGCTTACCTGAAAGAGCAACTTGTCCCCTTATGATAGCTGTCAGATAACAGTCCTCAGGGACCTTTTTTTCCAAGAGTTTTCTAAAGGAAATACTCCATGCTCAGGATTAGAACTGCCCAGTTTAGAAACTGATAGCCGAGATGAAGGAATAAGCTGTCTTTTTGAGCTGAGGCAGGAAAGCCCAGCACTTCAGGAACAGGCCCAGTGCCCATGCACTGGAGGGGAAAATGTATCATCTGCCTTCTGGCAGACCCCTCCTGCAACATGCAAATTTAGGTATTTACAGCAGAGATCTCCTGTCTGGAGTGGCTTTCACTGCAAGATCTAAATGGCTTCTCCTTTCTTTGCTGCTGTTTTGTTTCTAGGGCTTTTGGAGAGGTTTCTAGAGCACTTGACATTGCCACAGGAGGAGAGGTAAATGTCAACAGCCCCTGCATACTCTGCTGCTCTCAAGGCCTTTCCCTACAGGTGACATCTGTGCCTGGAGCTTTGGGTAGAGCTGTGCAACAAAGGCACAAGAAGCACAGACTGGTGCCAGCCTGCAAATTGCACTTGGGACAGTCTTTGTCCTTCTCAGCTGCCAGTAGGAAGGCAAGGAGGGCAGTGGTTCCTTGCAAAGAAGGACGTGCCCACTTGCTCTCAATTGCTAAAACCAAGGTTTAGCATCTCACTTAGAGCATCTCACTGCTCTTTGGGGCTGCAGCTTCAGAGTCCTGAATCCTCATTTCTGGCTGACAGCAAATACATCTGAATGTTACTGGTAGCTCATTAGCCACTTGGGAGCTGTACGTAGGGAGAGATCTGCAAGGTGTCCCTAAAAGCCCAAAGGCCTGCCTGTATCCACAGAGTACCAAGGCACAGATTACCTCTCTGGAAGTGCAGGCAGAGCAGCAGAGAGTGTGGTCAGAGCTTTGTGGGTGAGAGTTGATACACCTTTGTTACCAAGTGGACAAGGCAAAGTGTCAGTGGTCAGGTGTCATGTAACTGTCCCCAAGGGAGCAGAGCAATGGGCTGTTGGATTGTCACTTCCTAATTACTCCAATGTCTAATCACAAGGTGCTTTGGCACAGCTTGGCTGTGCCGTTCCAGAATCACTTACTCCATGTGAGAAGCTCCATGCCAACTTCCAAAGTTACAAATTTTCAATATTATTTTAGGTGGCCATAAAGAAAATCAATCTTCAAGAACTGGTCGGGAAGGAAGCAACTGCTTATGAACTCATGGTCATGAAAATGAAGAGGAACCCCAGCATGGTGACCTATTTAGAGAGGTGAGGGGTTCTTGTTTTATCCCACCAATATTTATTTACATACTTCATGCCTGCAATGTTAAAAACCCACTTTGGATACTGGCAGAAAAAAGAGCTTGTAATTACTTGTTAATTATGATTTTTCACCTTATCTCCAGTGGATGGAAGAGATTTTTGCATTTTGTCTACATTATTCTACCCTGGCAAATGCAGTTTGAAAATTGTCCAAAAATCTGGACCAGCCCTATCTTAAGAACAAAACACCTTGTAAATTCATTTCCTCCACATTGGATTGGGGCTTAATTTTTCAAGTTTTTAGGAGCACCTTTGAAGTGCTGAAAAACCACCCTAGAGAGAGGATTTCCCTTGCATTGCTGCCCTTTTTCCATTGCTGTGCATGCCAGGAAGACTCGGTGTTATTACCAGAGATACCACGTGTGACAGCTTTTTTATCTGGGGTGTTACTAAACTGCATTTTTCACTTGCTGGCCATCTAAGACACCTCCTTTTTTGTACATGTGCCATTCTCCTTGAGACTGAACAGATTTGCAAAGCATGTACAACCTAGAGGCCATGTCTATTTTTTTTATTCTGTCCTTGTAACAAAAGCACTCATAAACAAGAATCAACTGTTGTCTTTTGCAAACAGCAACGTAGCCATGCATGTTCATCTCCACACCCTTGTTTCCTTCTTTCAGTTACTTTACCCTTGTTTCCTTCTTTCAGTTACTTTCCGGGGAAGCACCTTTGGCTGGTGATGGGGTACATGGATGGAGGCACTCTGAGAGATATCATCAATGAGACTCAAATGTCTGAAGGAGAGATTGCCGTCTTCAGCCGTGAGGTCAAGGATCCCACCTGTGCTTCCAAGGGCTTGAGCAAGATTGTCTGGGAAACTGGGGCTCAGAATGGGAGTGATTTCATGGGCCAAGCTTGGTTTCTGTGTTGCTGGTATGCTATGGGCAAGCAAGAGCCTTTCAAGTGAACTGCCTGCCAGTGTCCTTGCACTCACTCTACTCACTCTTTGTACTCTTATCTCCTGCTGTTGTATTCTAGTTCTGTCGCTTCTATTTGGATTTGCTGTTCTCCACCTTGCCTCTCTAAATGCTTACTTTGTGCTTATCTCCACTGAATTCCTTGCCTGTAAAAGCAAAGGTGCTGGTTGGCAGAATTTGAAATGAACAGCAGAGAAGAAAAAGAGACTCATTTCTTTTAGGTCTCAGCTGAAAAGGATAGTAGTGCAGCCCAAATGCTGTTTGCTTCTGAGCACACCCTCTGCAGCTGTAGTCACTCTGCCTGGTTTGCAGGGGACAGTCTACAACAGCAGTTGCTGCTGCTGTTTCAAAAGCTGCCATGCCTTTCCTGACAAAGGTCTTGCTCTGCTGCTGTTGCAGCAGCAGGCTCAAGGTACCACAAGCAGTCAAGAGTGGCATTGCTGTGTCCCATCCAAAGGGAGAGAGCTACAATCTAAAGCTTCAGAAAAAGAAAGGCTGGAGGAAGTGTAAAAAAGGTGGGGATTTTTTGAAGCAGCCAATGCCATGTTTCCTTGACTAAAGCCCTGAGAAAATCGAGCAGGAATGGATTTCCAGCAGATGACAAAGTGCATTCTGCGCCTGGGAGTGGGCAATTCTTTTG